GTCACTAATATTCTAATATACAATAGCAATTTTTTTTTTTTGTTTTTTTCCACGTGTAGTGTAGAAATTTGTAATAAGATACATAATGCGGTTATAATAAAATATTGTGCGATTATTTTCATATAATTAAAATTAATATTTATTTATTTTTTAGAGAATACGAAGGAAGCGGTGGAAGCGCCGCTTCTAATGACGGCACGCCACTGCTATGCATGTCTGTTTCTTTGAAAACGTTAGTCATAAACATATCCTATTTTCTTGTTTACTTAGGTTTTATTTATGTGTAACTAGCAGATAAGTCCGGCATTGCTTGGGCAAAAAGTAACGATAGCGAAGATTAAGATTATTACATTACAATCAATCTTACCAGTCTTCACAGAATTCAAGAATTAGGTTTCCCTGTTTCAGACTAACTAGAAAATTTTTAGATGGGTCTAAAATTATGTTTGATTTAATGCAAAAAACCGCATCTGCACTTGTAAATCTTGCATGTTGCTTTCTCTTAACACTTCCATTCTTAACACTTTCATTGTTGAAGCCTTAATCCTGTCCCTTTCCCCGCAGGGGGGATTTCAAAAAACCCCTTGTTAGTGTGCGTTCTCGTGACGTACTCTAACTGTGTACCAAATTTCAAGTTTCAACTCCTAGCTGTGCTGAAATGCTCGTATACACGCACACCATCTATTGTAGGATAAATGTACTATGCCAGAAACCTTCGCAGGAGTGTATTAAATAGCTTCCCAAAGTTTCATGGAAATCGGATAAATGGTGTAGTAATGCGTGAAGGACAGACAAACATACATTCATTTTTATATATATAAATTATTAAATATCAGCACACTGAGTATTTGCCTGCCTGCATCCAAAAATAATCAGTACCAAAGGATGACAGAACACTTCATTTACTGCCTTAACATAGATTTTAGGCCTATACACTCTCAATAATCTAGAATTCTCTGGCTGGATTAACAAGAGTCTAGTATATCTGATTATGATTGTTATATATGTTTTTTATTTTAACAGATTATATTTCGAGCTAGATTTAGTGCAATTACAGAGAAAGACATAAAAGCTGCTATGAAGAAATTGGTTTATCCTGATGAAAATGAAGCTCATTCCGTTGATGCTAGACAAGAATTAGATTTAAGGATTGGCTGTGCATTTACTCGCTTTCAGACTAAATTTTTTCAGGTATAATTTTTTTCTAGTAGTAAAACGTTTTTTATTATTTTATTATCTATTTTATTATTTATTTTATTATTTTATCATTTTATAAACTAATTTATTTTAGGGTAAATATGGAAATTTAGATAGTTCACTGATATCATTTGGCCCTTGTCAAACACCAACATTAGGATTTTGTGTTGAACGTCATGATTGCATTCAATCTTTTAAACCTGAAACATATTGGATATTACAAGTACAAGTATGTTAAAAAGTTAAATAATCTGCAAACTAAAATTATTTTTAGTTTAAAAAAATAACAATTATCTTGTTTACTAGATTCTTACACCATCAGGAGATCCTCTAATGCTTGATTGGGATAGAGTAAGAATATTTGATAATGAAGTAGCTACATTATTTCTGCAGTTAGTGAAAGATAGGAAAGAAGCTAAGTAAACAATATTCTTTATTTATTTTATATTAAAATTTTAAAAAATTATAGTAAATTGTTAAGATTTAATTTTTAATTCATAGTGTAACAAATGTATCGCAAAAGGAAAAAGTTCGACAACGACCTCTTGCACTTAACACTGTTGAACTGATGAAGATTGCAAGTGCAAATATGGGAATGGCACCACATCATGCAATGCAGATAGCTGAAAAACTTTATACCCAAGGTTATATCAGTTACCCAAGAACAGAAACAACTCATTATCCTGAAAACTTTGATTTGGAGTAGATATATATTTATAAAATGTTACATATAAATTTATTTACTGTTGTAAAGTAATGATAAATAAAATTAAAAATTTATTTTATTAATATTTCAGAAGTACATTGCAGACTCAAAGAAATAGCCCAGATTGGGGTGAGGATGTTAAATTACTTCTCTCCACTGGAATTAATAGACCAAGGTATTTATTGTAATTTTCTTGATTGTTGTTATTGTAGCAATAAAGTAACTTTTAAATTTTTGTAGAAAGGGACATGATGCAGGAGATCATCCTCCTATAACACCTATGAAATTAGCAACAAAATCTGATTTAGATGGTGATGCTTGGAAATTGTATGATTATATAACTAGACATTTTGTTGCAACAGTAAGCAGATATTTTAAAAATATTATTTAACTGTTGTTTTTAGAAATGATATTTTACAACTTATTTTTAACACAATATTTTATTATTAAAACAGCTTATTTTTGTTAGGTAAGTGATGATCTACGGTTTTTGCAAACTACAGTCACATTTCATATTGGTGAAGAAACATTTACTTGTGTTGGAAAATCTTTAATTGATGCAGGCTACACTAAGCTTATGAGCTGGCAAGGAATTGGATTAGATGAAACTTTACCTTCTTTAAAACAAGGAGATATCTGTAATGTTTCTGAGGTAAAATTCTTTACAAAATTGCATATTGTTAGCAAATTTTTCAAAGTTTAAAGTTTGTTGAACATCAGACCTGATTCTCTAACAGAAGCAGAATTAATATCATTGATTGAAAAATATGATATTGAAATAAATATTTCTATTCGTGTAGAAGCTATAGCTATAGTAATTTAAAATATATTCGACGCTTGATGAATTGATATAAATTATAAAATTTTAAATAATAAATAAAATAGTAATTAAAAATGTATGAAATCTTTAGAATCAGTTGTTGTTAAAGAATTTTATAGAAACAATTTTGACAAGTGAAATTACTAACATTATGATGATATAAAGTATTTGAGATATTATCTACATATACTTTTTAAATTTAATGATAAAGAGAATTAATAATAGAAGGTAAACAATCCCAATAAACTGGATTATAAATGTATTCTGTCTCTTCTTAATTCATAAACTAAGTGATTTTAGTAGATATTCTATTTCGAATTTCAATTGTCCAGAACCAGATCAACCCAAGTAACTACACTAGCATTTGACACATTTTTTATTATTCTCTCTCCAATATAAATGCATTTTGAAGCACAGTCTTAGTAATTCCTCTTCAGTATTACATAATTACTCATGTAACAGACACATTCTCAAACATCACTCAAGAATGCATCTGTTATATGAATAATTATATAATACAGAAAAGTAATTACAGTAGAGCATCGATTATCCGACTCAATTGGGTACTCAGGTTGGTTGGATAACCGAAAAAAATGAAAAAATACATTATTAATATAGTATATTAGTATATCCCATGTAATTAGTATATTAGTATATCATTACTAACCAACTTCACATTGAATTTTCATTGATGTTAAGCCTAACAAAAATTTTTTTTTTTAATAATAATTGTTGCTATTGTATCGTTAAAAATTATTTTTAAATTATTTTATTGCTCACAAAACAAACAACCATTCATAATTAGAAAATTAAGTCTAATTTAAATACTGGCTTCTCTTCAATGGTCAAGCCGTGTTGCCAGCTAAAACACGCACAAATTTAACAAAAACAATATTAAAGTAGCCAAGACATAGACAAATATTGTAGTGCCACATCACTAGCGGACATTTGAAATTTGCCGACTAGAACGGTCAGTTAACCGATGTGACGGTTAATCAGGGGTCGAATAATCGATGCTGTACTGTACTAAGATAGTGCTTCAAAATGCATTTATATTGGAGAGAGAGTAATAAAAAATGTTCAAATGCTAGTGTAGTTACTTCGGATGCTGTGGTTCTGGACAATTGAAATTTATAATAGAATATCTGTACCAAAATCACTTGGTTTACAAATTAAGATAGAAGTAACAGAAAATTTGTTATGATTAATCTTCTAACTTTAAAGAAAGCTGCATTAAAGATTCCAAGAATGGGCAATAAGCATCAATATAAAATAAAAACTGTATTTTTTTACAAGAGACTAAAATCTTTCTGTTGGTTGGCACTGTAGTACATTTGGTGAATTCATGTCTCTAGGTACAAAATTGACTCTGTGGGGCTCAGGGGCCATCAAGAATTAGATTATGCAAGTTTAGAGTAGGGCAATTTAGACCAAAAAAAAAACAAATAATAGTTAAAGCGTGGGGATAAGAGACACTCTGAAGTCTAGGAATGAGCCTCTCAGGAGGATGAATGCAATGTCAAGTACAAATAACAAAGAGAGTTTATTATCATAAAACAAAATTATAAAATCTGATTTAGAAAGTTGGCCTATAATCTTTAAAATGATAGGGGGTACTTAGCAGGGGTATCCAAACTGCACGACTCACAACATACCAGGAAAAAAGTTGTCTTCTCTTCCTTCTTTACTTTCTTTCCCTATGCTCTTCTCTTCTTCATCTTCTTTCTCCTTTGCTTGGTTCCTTCACTTGGTCCTTCACTAGGTCTGTTGCTAAGTCAGTTGTCTCTCGTAAGGTCAATCATTTCAGTTCTGTTTGGTTCAGTTCACTGTGTATGAGGGTGGAGTCTGCCCTGAACTTTGAGTGTTTGCCCTTTTTATCCTCACTAAGCATGGGAATAGAATCAGGTGATTTTGATTTATTGTGGTCTAAGTTCAAGATGCGTCACCAGTCCATCTGAGGCAGGCTGTAAGACTGATGACTCCGGCAGATTGTTGATACTTTTTGCCAGGTGTTCTGACTCTTCTTACCTCATAATTTAACTGATTTTGATGTTTTTCCTCATCAATAACTATATGTTTGGATTTATTCTCAAAACTTATTCAAAACAACATTAAAGATTGTTGATTTGTAAGGTTATTTGATCGTCTTTTATCTATTCGATCAGAAGTCAGTGGAAAGGCCAGGTGACAATCTGGATTTTTTTTCACTTCATAATTACGTGTTATATTTAATTCAATTAATTAATTAAGAAATCAAGCCCTGAGATCTCACAACTCCATGTGCAATCCAGGACTCAGATTCTCTTGTTTTATTTGGTGTATTTTATTGATAAGAAAATATAAATAACAAAATAACAAATTTTTATAATGAAATATTCAGGTAAAACTTGTTGAATGTCAGACTAGTCCATGTTTCAGTCAACTTATTGTGGATTTGCATAGTAAATTGTTGCCAAATCTGGCCACTTTATTTCTTAAAAAAAAGAAAAATATTAATTTTTAAACATTCATTAATATAAATTTTAGTAATAATATTTCTTTTTGTCAGAAACAGAGCTTTTCAATCCGTACAGGCAAATTGTTTACCAAACCAGATATTTTTAACAAAACATTTTGACAGTGATTAATTAATGTTTGAAATTCTGGAAAAACTTTTCCTTTAAATGCTGTATAATAGTATGATCCTGGAAGTGTTGAGAAGTCAGCCTTTATGTATGTTTGTTTCATTGTCTAAAATAAAATAAGCATTCTTGCCAATTAAAGAATACAATTTTTGATCTTTTGTTTTAATTACCTACTTTTGTTTTTCAGTCACTTTAGGTATTTTTTTGTTTTTCATATTATCTCATACTTGCACACTACTTAGCCCTTTGAATCATTGTTTGATTAGTTTCACAGTTTTTTGCAACATCTTTCACTGACATACTACAATTTGTGGAAATGGCTTTATTTTCTGGTCAAGTTGTGACAGCAAACACCATATTTTCCACTGGAAACTGGCTATTGAAAATTGGACAATTTCTTATGATACCAATTTAACACTCCATCCATCTACTATACTTCAGGAAATTTGTAGCTATTTGCTATGAATTGTTTTGGTTTTTCTGAATTTTCCAGCCATTTGTCAACAGTTACTTTTTGACAATCCATTTCATTCATTGTTTAAAGCAATAGCACAGTTACTTTAATAAAACCGATAATGGAAATCTTACTCTAATTAGTTGAAATTGTTGCTATGGCAACAAAGAAAATTATAAATAATAAAAAAGTTAGAAATCTGTAAAATTCAAAAGACATTATCATTATAGTCCTTAATGTATCAATATTAATGCACAGTTTTTAAAAATAGAATAAAATCTATATGCAACCCGTAAAAATTTATTTGAATTATTAAGTCACATTTTTCTAAAAAAATAATGAGTATTTATTTCTCTTTTCATGTAGTTGAATTTGTTATGTGAACATTAAAAATATTATTCTCTTGTTTTATTTGGTATATTTTATTGATAAGAAAATATAAATAACAAAATAATAGAAATTTTTATAATGAAATATTCAGGTAAAACTTGTTGAACGTCAGACTAGTCCACCTGATTATCTAACAGAAGCAGAATTAATAACATTGATGGAAAAGCATGGTATTGGAACAGATGCTTCTATTCCTGTACATATTAATAACATTTGCCAACGTAATTATGTTACAGTAGGAAGTAAGCGGCGACTTATTCCAACTCCACTTGGCATAGTTCTTGTTCATGGTTATCAAAAGGTAATTTAAAAGAGTTGTCATTTATTTATTAATATTTTGAATTGTTAAAATTCATTAACTTAAAATTTCTGTATAATTAATTTTTTAAGAATCAAAATCTATTATTTTTATTTTTGCCATATAATATTGCATTAAACTGGTTTATAAAACTTACAATGCATCACAATTTAACTCATATCTTTGGATTTTAAGTAATCATATTATCTTAAGCATGTTAACAGGGCTTTTGAGAGATTGTATGAGTCCTGGGAGTAGAGCAAGCCCCATTTGCCATTTTTTTGAACGAATAAAATACATAAAAAGCTTGTTTATTAACTTAATAAAAAAAGTTTCAAAGATTTTATTTTTCCTTAGTAAAAAATAACATTGATTTATATAGATAGGAAGCAGTTAGTGTCCCCAAGTTTTCTCCAGGCCTCCAAGCTACTATTGATGACCTTGCATATTAATGTCATGTTGTAATGTAATGACAAAATTCTCTCTATTGCGTTTCTTTGTTATGAATATATATATTTTTTAATATTTATTAATTTTATATTTTCCTTGTCTCTGTATATTTTTAACTTTAAAAAATACTGTAAGGAAGTTTAACTGTTGTACAAAAATTTTTTTCTTTGTGTAGACTGCATCCTTAAATATTTTAATTTAAATCATCACAGCTTACTTTCATGCTTAGTTAACCTTACATACAATCCAATAAAATTACTTAATTTTTTTCATTGATTCTTATTTTAAATGTATGAAAAGTTTAGCTTTTAAACTAAAAAACTGTGTTTATTTTTATAGATTGATCCAGATTTAGTTTTACCAACTATGCGGGCAGCAGTTGAAAAACAACTGAATCTTATTGCTGCAGGTAAAGCAGATTTTTCTTCAGTGTTACACCACACATTAACAGTGTTTGAATTGAAATTTCATTATTTTGTGACTAATATTCTTGGAATGGATGAATTGTTTGAAGTCACTTTTAGTCCCTTATCTGACAGTGGAAAACCACTATCAAGGTATTTTTCATTTTTTTTTTCTTTTGATTTGTAAAAACAAGACAGAATATAAATATTTATATATTTATTTGTTATATTACAGATGTGGCAAGTGTCGTCGTTACATGAAATTAATTGCCACAAAGCCAAATCGACTTCATTGTCCGCAATGTGATGAAACACATTCTATCCCACAAAATGGAAGTGTAAGAGTTTACAGAGAATTAAAGTGTCCATTAGATGATTTTGAATTGTTACAGTGGTCTGGTGGAAGTAAAGGAAAGGTGAGAGCTATATTAAATTTTGAATGTTTTAAATGATAGTATTATTAAAACAAATTTTTATAATTTGAGTTTGTATAGAAATATAACTTTAATAACTCTCTAAATATTACTGATTGATAATATAATTTATTTCAGAGTTTTGTATTCTGTCCATATTGCTTTAATCATTCACCATTTCGTGATATGAGAAAGTTATCGGGCTGCAATTCATGTACACATCCTGCATGCCCACATTCTTTGACAGTTAATGGAGTTGCATCTTGTTCACAGTGTGAATTTGGTGTCCTTGTATTAGATCCTGCTTCTGGTCCAAAATGGAAATTATCTTGTAATAGGTATGATTGTGCTATTCGATTTTGCTATAGATTTTTTCTGAATAAAATATAATTAAAGAATATAAATTCCCATTGTCGTACATCCATTTGTCCCATCTCTTTTTCCTTAATTTCAAGAATGGAGTCAGATAGATGAAAGACAAGACCAGATATGGAAACCTTGGGGCAGGAAGTCCCGATTAACTAGATACGAACTTCCGATGCAAACTGGAAGTCATGTTATATGTTATTCAAACATTTCCCCTGAAAGGAGTTAGATAGATATCAGTATGATTCTGTTGTTAAAGGAAAAGTATGATGTACAGGGGCAAGCCATTACTAATTTTAAGTGGAGAGCATATATTTGAAATTAAGTAAATTAAAAATATGATTTAAAAATTGCAGCTTGGCATTGTGACAATGTCACAATAAATAATTGCTCATGTAGACTTATTTTATAACCTGTCTTTTGTACAAAAATAAAAAATTAAAAATGTCAAAAATGGAAGAAAATATATATAGAACTGTTGCAAAATATGAACATTAATTCTTAAGTAGAAAACAAATTTATTTGAAGTATAGTATTTGAATGATTTAATAGTATATGAGAAAGATGTTACAGATTTAAATGGTTACTTGAATCATTCTAATCATTCTGTTTCAGATGCGATGTCATTATCCATGTATTTGAAGATGCTCAGCGATTGACAGTTGGCGAAGAAACCTGTACAGACTGTGGAAGTCAGAAAATGCTTATAGAATATAAAAAAGTATATGGAATTCTCTTATGATATATTTTTTATATTTGAAATATTCTTAAAATTTTCTGCTTTTCAGGAAAAGTCAAAACTTGCAAATGGTGCAACAGAAGCTAATGGATGTATATTCTGTGATAGTCAGTTTTCTTCTCTAGTGGATCAGAAACAAGCTCTTAGGCAAAGAAATACAGTTGGTCAGGTGCACCATCGTGGAAGAGGTAGGGGAAGAGGTAGGGGTGGAAAAACAAGAGGAAGAGGGAGAGGAAAGCCTAAAGATAAAATGGCTCAATTAGCTGCCTATTTTGTATAGTTTTGTGTTTTTTACACAAAATTTTATTTATACAAAATGAAAAATCCTTATTATTTAATTAAAGATTTTAAGAAAGAATCAAAAATTATTTTATTTATAAGTACAGTAATTCATTTTTTTACATATTTACATTGTGTATATACACTGTTATAATATTAATATTGATGTTTTTGGATCAAACTTTCCTAGATTATATTTGATAGAATATGTTTGTTGTACTAAATTTCAAATAATTTTTTACCTTTTTCAAATAACTTATGTCCATATTGAACATTGAAAAAATTATTTGTACTAGAAATGGTCTATGTCCTGGATTTATGAAAGTATCACATTAATGACTATTGTAAGTTATCATAGCATCAACAGTTATTGCATTACCGTTGTCTTTACAAAGTATGTTGTAACTGAAAATATCATAAATATGTGACATTACATTATCATAAACAGTACAATTGAAAAGTCTTACAGCAGTGGTTGTAGTTCCGCACAAGTCCATCATGCAAGATACCCTCATTGACATTTTTGAAAACTAATCAAGAAGGGTTCATTTATGGTTAGAGAATGACAGAAGACACTTCCAACACTCATTGTAAAAATGTAATTAACAGTATTGGTTTAACTGATTATCATAACCTGTTAAATTCAGGACTTAAAGCAATAAAATTACTGCAGAGGAGCTTTCTGTTCATTCTATATTGGCTGTCTTAAAGTTATTCAAGTTAGCTGATTCAAGATGTGCCAGATATTTAACAACATTGATAAAACTTATCATTTGCCTCTTCTGTCAATTTAAAGCATTGTAGCAACAGAATTAATTTAATACTAATTAATGCAGACAAAATAATTTAATTTGAGGAGCTGAGATATCAATTATGAAATCTCAGTACAAAAAATGAAAGAGAAAGTAGAAAAGTATACAAAAAATATACATTTTGTTTTGTTGTAATAATTATTAATACTTCTGACAAACTAAACTTTTGTCGTCATTTTCGGAAACTAAACTTTACATGGAAATTCTATTGCATGCTGGTTAGATATTTTCAGCTGTTTCTCGATTGTTGGGGTTAATTGAAAATAAAATATATTCTGAAAACTGGATCATTAATATATACAGGTATACTTTGCCTTAACGTCGATAATTGGTTCCAGGAGAGGCGACGTAAGTCGAATTTACTTGTCTCCGAATCTACTTGTCACAAGGCTTAACCATAAATTATTATTCCCGGTTCTGTATTTTATTTATTAATGCATTTTTAATAATATATGGTTAATAAAGATCTATTTTAAGCTTACAAACAAATAAATTTTAGTTTTTAATATAGTACAGAAAAAAGTA